AGGTCTTTATAGTTTACAAAGCAACTTCACATGTACTCTGCCATTTGATCTTGTAACATCCCGGTGAATTGGTCATAATTATCACTCCCATTTGAAAAAATGAGAAAATGGGGGTTTGGAGAGGCTAAATAATACAAGTGATTTGCCCAGCATCATTCATCATTAATAGCACAGTTGGGATTTAAATTCAGAAATCTTGACTTTCTCAGTTATATCACGTTGCCTAGAAATTAATTAATGATTCTTCTTCTGCTTCTACATTTTCCCACTACTTTTTGAAATTTTGGAAGGAATTTTGAAAAAAAAAATGACAATCTCTTAACTTGATGACATACAACATAATCATAACTAGATGAAAAACTTAACACAGTTATTCGAGTTAAAAGTAAATTCAATCTTCTCAAATGCCAAAGTGAGGTCAGATAGTCTCACTGCACCTAATATTCATAAAAGAGCACATTTGTGAAGTCCGTAATGAACATTTGTTGACTGTACACCTCAGAGATGAGGAAATTTGTGGCACAGACAATGCTATGAATTCTCTAATATATTTAATATTTTTCTTGTATTGAACACAAGACTAATTGCCAGCCCCTCCTTGAGCCTACTTGCTGCTGAGTTCTGTCCAATGGAACAGGCATAATGGAACAGGGCTAATCTTAGAATGTCTCGCACAATCTCCTACTTTCTCTCTCTCCACAGCCTGTGCAGCTGGAAGCGAAGGACTCTCCTGCTTGAAGACAGCTGGCCAGAAGAGCACTGGACTCTGTGTGAGTGAGAAACCAGCGCTTATTGTATTAAGACTTTGGGATTCTGGGGGACTGTTTGTCACTACAGCATAGCCTAGCCCGTCTTAACTATTAAATAAACTGAAATCCATAGGTACTTAGTAGCTTGCTTAGGTTTATTCAGATAGCAAAATATTTGCTACTGCCGAGGATATTAGCCAGGTGCCCCCAGTCAAGTCATTGATCTTTACAAATATTCATCTGTGTCAACAAAGACCCAGGTCTAGAAATACTCTTTTTTGATTGATCTAACTCTGGATGAACTCACTCCATTTCAGAAATCCACTGTTAGGTATATATGTATGTCAATATAGGAAAAGGCCTAGAAATAGTGCTGGGGAAAGGAGTGCGATAAGGCTGAAAGAGGAGGTGAGGAGGGGAGGGAAATAGTGATGCTTGAACGTTACCAACTGTGTTATTTAAATATTTTTGCAATGAAAATTTAAATATGTGCTATTTTTGAAATTTAAAAAAAGAAAAAGAAAGAAATCTCGGATAAGCATAACTACTCCTACAAATGCTCTGCTCATCTTTCAGTTGAAATCCCATCAGCCTTTTAAGGCTCACTCCCTCACTTGATGCTTTTCTTCATCTTTTCCAAAAGGAATGATCTTTTCCTCCTCTAAATACATATAGAATACAGTGGTTGCTTATGTAGGCAGTGCCTTTGTCTTATATTTTAGTTATGTGGACACACATTCTATTTCCCTTATTAGATGACATTTCTCTGAAAAGTAGGGACTGTCCTGCTCTTTATACAGCTATTCAGAAAAATAAAAATCGGGATTTCTGGAATAGCAGAGTCAATAGCTTGGCAAATCCTCTCCCCAAGAAGCAGTGATAAAACTGCAAAATGTTGTTGAAAACAACCACTTCAGGACTTCAGGCATAGGATAAATTGAGATGCATTTATTCAAGAAAAGCTTCTGAACCTCAGGTAAGAACAGTAGGAGTCTGTGATGTTAAAACCTGGGCTGCTTCCATTTCCCAACCTCCGCCAGCTCCACCTCCATAACCGTGACAGTTCTACGATGACTGGGAAATCTGTAAAAACCAGCAACTTCCCTGCCAGAGGAGACCAACATCACTTGGAGCTAAATGTAGAAAAACTACAAGGCCCAGAAGCAACCCAAGGACCTATCAATAGATGAACAGATAAATGCATGGTGGTATATTCATATAAGGGACTGTTAGTCAGCAATAAAAAGGAATTATCTATTGACACATGTAGCAACAGGCTTGGGCTTCAAAATACTTCTTCTAAGTAAAAGATGCTAGACAAAAAAACATGTGCACTGCATGATTCCATGTACATAAAATTCCAGGAAATGCAAACTAATCTACAGTGACAGAAAGCAGTGCAGTGGTGATGGGAGTGGTGAAGGATGAGAGAAGGAATTACGAGGGTCATGAGAAGACTTTCGAGGGTAGTAGATATGTTTACTATCTTGTTTTGGTGATAGTTTCACAGATGTATACATTTGTCAAATATTAAGAAATTGTGCACTTGAAACATGCAATTTACTATATGTCCTATATAGTAAAAATTCCTATTTAAAAATTATTTCAAAATTCCTTAACCCCACAAATTGTAGAGTTAAATTGATCTTCCTCGAAATCTTTGTCATGTGTATCCTGTGACTCCATTTACTCATTGGTACAAAGCTTTAAGCCTCCAGGGATATATAAAAGCTATAAGAAGCATGGATTTAGAGGAAACATAATCACTGTACTTAAGAAATAGTTGCTCCATGATTTATAAATTTAAAGTTGAGTGTTAGAACTAGAACTCCAGCATCTAGCTTAGTCTTTCTTATTATACTCAAGGAAACTCAGAGAGAGAGGGGGACCCAGATGAGGTCATCTGGCAGTCATGTGAGGACTTGAAGACGTGTCTCTTGGTTGTAAGATACTAGAAAACAGAGGAATTGAATATTCACTTTGTTGACTTTATCATTCATTTTAGACATTTCTATCAGAAGAACTGCACAGGAACCACAGTAAAAATACCAATTCTTCAACTCATTACCTTCTAAAAAGCACAAGCAAAGTCAAACCTGTATTTTAAGATGTTATCTTCTATTTAAACATTCTTTTCCCTTTTCATTCTGATTGTTTTCATATAGTTTAAATTTTTGCAGAAGATTCTTTGAATCTCTGACAGCCAAAACCAGCTGTGTTTGCTGGTGAGGGTGGAGATAGAAACAATATTTACTAGCAAAGCCAAAATCAGACTTGCAAGGGGAAAAATCAATTGGCAGCAATGGAAAGAAGAGTATTTGCTAATTTAGAACAGTTTTTGAACGCTAACACTGGTTTTACCCCTGGCCTAGGACCTCCAGGTCCAAATTAACATAAGGGGAGGGGCCGCTTTGTTTAAATTTCTGATGGATGTTTACAAAGAAGCACAGGGAAGAACGCTTCTCCTTGCTCTTGAAAATTGAGGCATCAATAATGGTCCAGTCTTCTCCCTGGCACAGGGGGCAGAGTACAGGCACTGAAGACAGACAAAACTAAATTCACCTGAGTCCTTCATTTGTGGATAATTTTCTGTCTGTTCTGTGGTTTCCTCATCTGTAAAATAGAGGTAATTCTACTTTATAGTGAATTTGTTATGAAGTTTAGAAATAATAAATGTCAATTCCACTTTACAGTGCCGGACTTATACAGGTGACATGGCACTCAATACATGATAACTGTTATTATTATTATTTTAACACTTAGCCTGTAACCATGAAAATACACTGCTGTGAGGAGGAGGAAAGTAACTACTGTACTTGGCAATTTTTTTCAAGTACACAGGGACTGCTGATACTTGCCCCTCAGCTTCCAGATGTTTCCTTCTGCTATACCTGAAGCAGTATAAGAAAATTTCTCTGCAGGTTTCTGCAGAGGCAGCCAGCACTTGGGTTGTGAATCTTTTCTTGAGTTGGGTGAGAGATTTTTTTCTTCCCTTCATGCCTAGAAGGACAGGCTGCTGTCTTCAACACAGAGAATTTCACTGACTTTGAGACCTTGATGAATTCATTTAATTGATTTTTTCTTCATAAATGAACAATACATTTTACATGGGTACAGTTATTCTCTCAATTGCATTTCCATAGCTCTTCATAAATATTTTGTCATGGTGATTATCACAGCGTGTTGTGGATATTAGCTTATGCTGCTACTAGTATATCAAAAGGTAAATCTCCAGTTTCTCAAGGACAGGGCATACCTTCTTTTGTGTGTTCTCAGCACATAGCATGGTGTCTGCACATAGCTGAAACTCTATCAGTGTTTGTGGCACTAAATATCAGAAATCTCACCTGTTCTACATCAAATCAGTTTATTTATCCTTTAGAATATTAGAAGTATCTAAAGTTTCTATGGGCTACATGATAAGCGTAGTGCTCCAATGGCTGCCTTTAGTTAACTGGAATGTATTTAAAAGTTGGAAAAAGACTTCTTATTGGATATGAATATAGACTTGAAAGAGGGTATCTACTTCTTTGAGGAAGGATGTGCCAAGATGTGTTAGGATCATAGTTGGAAATGATTGAATACTACACAGTTAAATGATATGTTGCACTTGTTGAGGGTGGGGTAGGTGGGAATAAATCCTAAAAGTTAGTTTGGGGAAACAGATGAACTGGCAATAATGTTTAATCTATCACATATAAAGTATATAATATTCCCAGATGGATCCAGGCTCTATTCAGACCTTTGTAAAACATGCGCTTGATTACTTAGCAACCCATCTAAGGATCTCACAAAAATCAGTTGTGTGTATTTTAATGAGATATGTCTTCTTAAGGGTTCCTTTCAACTCAGAACTTTGTAAAACAAAGTAGATTTCACTAAGGCCTGAATTTACTCACTGGGATCCTCTATTTAATAAACAGTTAACTTCAGTGTAACTAATTTAGTGAAAAGTCTAAATTTGTTAGTCGCATGGGAATAAAATGACTTTATTCTGCTAGTAAAAGGCACTAACTATATTCAGTTAAAGCCTTCTATCCAGGTGGTGGAAGATTCCCTTAACAATCTCTCATTCAATTTTGTTTCTTTTTTTGTTTATTTCAATAAGTAGAACAGTCTCATTTTCATTCTTTAAGACTGTTCCCTGTTCATTTTAATACTTTACTAAATAAATATGCAGTTTAAAGACCTTTCTCTTCCTTTCCCCATCCCCAGGGTATCCTGCCAGCAGTCAGCAGAGGACAAACGCACGCATCTGGGGTCTTGGGAGAGTGAAGTGCTGGGCTCACCCTCACCTGTCATCTCTTTGCACTCACCTTCACATCTCTCTCTCCTGCGTGGAGTAAGGCTACAGAACAAGGGAGTTGGAAGGAATGGCCTCCCCTAACTTGACTACCAGTCTCAGATACTACTGGAAAGCTATTTATCTACTGTAATGGTTAAAGAAGCTAAACACATCCCTGCCTCCCTTGCAGGTAGTGTCCAGGTGATCCAATTCCAGCTAAGGAGAAATAAGTAGAACTTTGCTATGTGGCTTATGAGAACAGTTTTATTTACTTCATAAAAGTAACAGACTTGGTTGTTCTCTCCCATCCCCAGACTTCTTTCCTTAAAAGTGCACCTGATGCCTGGAGTTGGGACAGACACCTGGCAGCCATGAGGGTAAGTCTGAGAGAATTCAGGACTACTGAGGTGTGGAAACAAGGATGGCAGTAATTTCCCCCCAGATACCTTGTTATATGAGAAAAATCAGTCTCTATTTGTCAAAGCCATTGAAAAGTAGGCTTTATATTACTTGCAGCCAAAATCGTTTCTAACTGATATACTGACCCCTGGGTATCTTTTAGTTATCTCCTTGATTGGCCATAACCCTGATCTACCTGTTATCCATGGGCTTTGTATGGAAAAGGTGGCATTGGCATTGCCAATTGGGCCAGCAATTAACTGTCTTACTCTTTAGCAGTGCCCCTGGCTATGGGTTGTCTCTTGAGAAGCTTGTCTGCATCTGCTAGCAAATCCCCAGATAGCAGCATCTGTCTCATTCCTCTGTTCTCTATAACTCTTTGCCATTCTCTATGGAATCTTCCCCAGCACATGCACCTGCAGCAACCTCCCAGCCCTGGAGCCTGCAAGCATTGGCAAATCCCACCTTCTGTACCTCTGGATCACTGGGAACTTTAGAGAGAGAATTCTGGGCCTGTCGAAATGTAGCCATCCCACCCTACACTCTCTCTCCCCTGCTCTACTGGAAAGTGGGCCATAAGCAAGCTCCTGGGGCTAAGCAGACATGCAGCCTGCTGGATAAACATCAGTCTCTCCCCATCTTTGGGGGTGATTCTTTTGGGGACTTTCTCACATGCCCCCACCCCTCAGGGAATGTAGGGGAAGGATTCATTAACATTGCACTGCTCTCTCCCTACCCAAAAGGGGCTCCTCTGCATCCTTCTCTCAGCTTCTGTCTTAGATCTACCAGAGTAAAGGAAGGCAGGGGACCAGTGGCAGGGTTGCAGCAGTAGCAGTTCTGTTGAGCTGGCATCTGTCAGCACACCTGTGACATGAAAGGGACGGCCTCGAACTGTATAGCATTCACAACTTAGTGGTTTTTGGTTTTGGTTGTGTGCCTTAGCCTCCAGTTCTGAGAGCACTTAATAGTATCACAAGCATTCACAGTATAGTATATATTGTTGTGTACATGGACCCTGGGTCCTTATCTGCTTCCACCTTCAACAAGACTACACATCCTACTTCATTTTTCTCATATTGACAATGAGAATTTAAATCCAAAAATTCTCCTGTCTTAAGTTGCTTGAAGTTCAGTTTGGAGTGTGCATATACTTTATGCTTTATATAGAGAGGACTAATCAACCATGTCTGTTGCCCTGCTCCTGCTAGCTACATCCCGAACCTACAAAATGCTGCTCCATTGCGAACATGCTCTGCCGGTGTCTGCTGTGAAAAGTCTACTGTACCATGCCCGTGGCGGCCTCAGTACCAAAGGTGTTTATAGACCTTGTCTTCAGGCACCCAGAGGACATGTTTCAGGATCCGCGCAGCCTGGAAGACTTTAAGTACTTCCCCAATTTTTTTTTTCAGTTTATTTTCTTGCCCTTTCCCTGCCCTCCCCCCTGCCCCATTTTCCCCTTGCAGCTGTTGGATGCGGTTAACAGTGTGGCCCTTTCAGCCTTGCTGAGCTTCGCTGGGCAGCAATTCCATGTCCACTTACATTCCTCTCACTTACCCTAGTTAGTCCTTTCACTCAAACCAGTCAGACAAGCACAAGAATTTGGATAACAGCAAAGAAATCAGAAACACTTTTTCCCCCATTAACAAAGAAAAGAATTGGAGGATTCAGTTAAGACTGAAATTAAGTACTTGAGCCATCCCAATAAATTGGAAAGCACTTTTTTACAATTTTAATCATTTTCAAACTCTTTATAAACTGTTGTCTAGACACAATTTTGGATGAATGTTTACTCCCCACCAGGAGACTGCAATTCATCGAAAAAAAAGGAACAGTAACATCCAGAAATTGTATTGGCCAATATGAGTATGTTCAATATTCCTCAATAAGAAATCTAAGGAAAGTAGCAGAAACTACTTCTACTGAATTTAGAAAAGCTTTATTTCCTCTGTTATATAAAACAAGTACTGATCATAAAATCTAAGTCTTATCCAGGCCATTCAACTATTTGCTTAGATGACAGCAGTGAGTAAATGTTTGTTTCATGTCGAGAGATGCTGGACTTGATACCACAGTCACATGGGGGTAGTAGCTTTTATTCTTTTATTTTTCCCTTTAGCAGTGTAAATAAATACTTGCTAATTTTTCTGTTTTCTCTGTTGAGGTTTTCTTTCTTTTTTTTTTTTTAAGGTAGAGTCCACTTATATTGTTGACAGACTTTGTGGGAGTGCTATTTCTATCCTAGCTTTGGCTGCAAATACGTCAAAAGGATGTGCCCTGAGGTTTGCTGACAATAAAGCCAATTACAAAGCGAGTGTTTTTGGTGTCTTTCTCTCTCTCTCTGTCTCTCTCTCACACACACACACACACATACATATTCACACACACACATACATATTCACACACACACACACACACACACACACACACGGCACCTTTGCAAGGATTTGAGAGGTTGAGAACTGTCATAGGAGGCTGAGGGAAGTGGACACAAAAGTTTGAAAGTGACTTTGACCCCTCACAAATTGGCTGAGAGCCCATCTAGTTTCTCAGTATCTTCAAACAATCTAAATATTTTGTTGTTCAAAAATAATCCATATGTGAATAATTTTAATTCATTTTTAAAAATTTAATTCTACAAATATTTGTTAGTTGTATTCTATGTGCCAACCAGTGTGTCAAGTTCTGGGAAGATAAGATAAGGAAGACAGGTGCCCTTCTCTCAAGACAAATAGAAGAGACAGACCTTCAAAAAAGTCTAACACGAGGGCACTTCAAAAAGCTCATGGAAAAATAGAATGAAAAGATAATATGAATCCTTCCATGAACCTTTTGAAATACCCTCATATTAACATGCAAGGCAGACCAAAGTAAATGCCAAATAGAAATAGTGACAGCAAGCTATGGGGAGGGGAAGGAAAAAGCTGTTTATTCTGTTTAGCAGATCAGAAAGACACTCGCAGAAGTGATGGCTTTGATTTCAGCTGTGATTGATGAGTGGATAGAAAAGATGGGAAAGGATGTTCCAGGCTGAGGCAAAAATATGGAGGTAAAGGATGGGAGGATTGAAATTCTATATTTCTTTTGGGAATGCTTGTTGTCTGGTGTGGCTTCAGGTCTGGATACACACACGGATGCAGTGGGAGAGATCATTCAATCCACAGTTGTCGGAAGCTTTTTTATGTGTAGGCTTTTGACTATGAAATGACGGTATACATAAAGAGTAATTTACAGAGCAACACACACACACACACACACACACAGGACTGATTAACTTTTCTCACAACTTTCTATACCACAGCAGATATTTTCCTTTATCTTTTGAACTTCTGGAAGTAGAGAAGACAGGAAAATGGGTAGGTGGCAAAGGGCAACCCAGAGTGGAATAACTCGTGGGACCTCAGTGTGCTGCAGAGAGGCAATCATGGGAAATAACTGAATTAATGTCCTGGAAAACTTTTATCCCCTGCTTGAGGAGGCCTTAGAGAAGCTCTGGGGACATGCACATCAAAGTAGATGTTACTACATGCCTCAACACTGTTATCCAGTCAGTTAATAAACACATAGCAATGGCCTACTAAGTACTAGCCATTGAGCTCAGTGCTGGGGACACAATGGTAAATAGAATAGAGACTACAGTCATCTAGGGAGAGATTGTACAAGCCAATAGCAACAATTATTGAGCAAGGGCAATAGTTAAAATTGAAGGTACACTACAGTCCCAAAGAATGTTTCATCCTGCCCGTGGAGACCAGCGAAGACTTCCTAGAAGAGTTGAAAGGCAAACTGAGTTTTGAAAAATGAGTAAGGCTTTCTCATGGCCCAAAGGGAGGACATCCCTTGCAAAGGCAGAAATTGCATGGCTTGAGAAACTGCAAGTAGTTCAGCGGGGCTCAAGTGATAAGAGATAAGTGGTGAGAAGAGATAAATAAGGGTGAGATGAGTAGGAACCAAATATTGAAGGACCTTAATACAAATACAATAAAAAGGAATTTAAATTTTCGTCCTGTAGAAAATGGGATTCATTAGGGAGTTTTAACTAAGGTATTTTTGTGAGTAGAGTTACTTCTTAATTTAATTAAATTTTTAAATATTTTAATTGACAATATTGAAGGACCTTAATACAAATACAATAAAAAGGAATTTAAATTTTCGTCCTGTAGAAAACGGGATTCATTAGGGAGTTTTAACTAAGGTATTTTTGTGAGTAGAGTTACTTCTTAATTTAATTAAATTTTTAAATATTTTAATTGACCAAAATTGTATATATTTATGGTGTACAATATGATGTTTTGAAGTGTGTATACATTGTTAAATGGCTAAATCAAAGCTAACTAACATATGCATTACCTCACATCCTTATTATTGTTTTGTGGTGAGAACACTTAAATTCTACTCTTCTGGCAATCTTTACATATGCAGTACATTGTTAATAACTATAGTCAGCATATTGTATAATACAGTAGTCCTCCCTTATCCCTGGTTCCACTTTCCTCAGTTGTAATTTCTGCAGTCAACTGTGGTCCAAAAATATTACAGTATTTTGAGAGGGTGGGGAGGAGAGATCACGTTCATGTAACTTTTATTACAGTATATTGTTATAATTGTTATATATTATTAATAGTCATGGTTTTTAATCTCTTACTATGCCTAATTTATAAATTAAACTTTATCATAGGTATGAATCTATAGGAGAAAACATAGTATATATAGAGTTTGGTGCCACCTGGGGCTTCAGACATCCACATTCTCTGGGGATTCTGGAATGTATTCCTGGTGAATACAGGAGGACTACTGTAGATCTCTTGCACCTGTTTCTTCTGCCTAAATAAAATTTTGTATCCTTTGACCAACATCTTTCCATTCTGCCCTTCATTCCACCCTCGAGCCAGTCAACCATCATTCTAGTCTCTACTTCTATATCAGTTCAACTTTTTTAGATTCCACACATAAGTTAGACCACACAGTATTTGTCTTTCTGTGCCTGGTTTATTTTACTTAACATAATGTCCTACAGATGAATCCATGTTGTCACAAATGACACAATTTCCTTCTTTCTAAAGGCTGAATAGTAGTCCATTGTATATATGAGTGTATATCTCATTCTCTTTATCCATTCATCCGTTGTTGGACAGGTTGATTTTATATCCTGACTATTGTGAGTAATGCTGTAATAAACATGGGAGTGCAGATGTCTCTTTGACACACTGATTTCATTTCCTTTTGATATATACTCAGTAGTAAGATTGCTGGATCTTATGGTAGTTCTATTTTTAATATTTTGAGGACCCTCTGCACTGTTTTCCATAATGCCTTTACTAATTTACATGATCACTAACAGTGTATGAGTTCCCTTTTCTTCACACCATTATCAACACTTGCTATCTTTTGTCTTTTTGATAATAGCCATCCTAACAGGTATGAGATGATACTTCATTTTGGTTTTAATTTGCATTCCCCTGATGATTAGTCACATTTAGAATTTTTTCATATGCCTGTTGATCATTTTTATGTCTTCTTTTGAGAAATGTCTATTTAGGTCTGCTTTGGGTTAAATGTGTTCCCCCAAAGTTCATGTACTAGAAACTTAATCTCCATTGTAACAGTGTTTAGTGGGTGGGAAATCTTTCATGGTAATCAATTGGTGGGGCCTTAAAGAGGTGATTAGATTGTGAGGACTGTACCTTTGTGAATGGATTAATCCATTAATGGTTTAAAGGATGGTCCTGGGTGTGGTTATAATGGGTTTATAAGGAGAGTGAAGGAGAAACAGCTCTCTCTTGCTCAGCTTGTTCTCTCGCCTTGTGATATCCTGCATTGGTGTGGAAAGTCACCACCATGAACAAGGCCGTCACCAGATGTGTCCCCTGGACTGTACACTTCCCAGCCTCCAAAACTGTAAAAAATAAATGTGATTTCTTTATATATTATACGGTTCCAGGTATTCTGTTCTAGGCAACAGAAATGGACTAGTACCAGATCCTTTGCCTATTTTTTAATTGGGTTATTTGTTTTCTATTGAGTTTTTGAATTTCTTATATGTTTTTAATATTGACCCCTTATCTGATGTATGGTTTATGAATATTTTCTCCAGTTTCATAGATTGTCTCTTCACTCTATTGCTTGTTTCCTTTACTGTGCAGAAACATTTTAGTTTGATATAATCCCATTTGTTTATTTTTGCATTTTTTTTGCCTATGACTATTGGGTCATATCCAAAAAATCATTGCCTAGATTAATGTCATGAAGCTTTTTCCCTATGTTTTCTTCTAGTAGTTTTATAGTTTCAGGTCTTATGTTTAAGTCTTTCATCCATTTTGAGTCAAATTTTTATATGGTATGAAATAAGGGTCCAATTTTATTCTTCCACCTGTAGATATCTGGTTTTCCTAACACTATTTATTGAAGAAATTGTCCTTTACCCATAGTGTATTCTTGGCACCTTGTTGAAAATCAGTTGACCATAAATGTGTGGATTTATTTCTGGCCTCCCTATTGTGTTTCAGTTAGTC